AGGTGTGCTGCGTACTACAAACACACTGAATCTAACAGCAGAACATTTCTCTACAAGCTTAGCCTATAACACTTATATACATAACTTTCTATTATGACCTATTGGAAGAGGAAAATTCTGTTAACCGAAAACATCTCAGTTCATCTTAATCGTTTCATATTCTGTTGAATTACTGAAATATTCTTGGCCTATGAGTGAGATGTTGAGTGCTCCAGCAGAACGTTTGAACTCTTTCAGGATCTGTAAAGTACAGGGGCACTTAAGGAAAGAAAAAGGCCCTTGAGGACTTCTGAATGATGGCCTGTGTTTGTGCCTGGATCTGTTTGCTAAATGCAAAAATGCCTAAACTCAGAGGATTAGATAAATATTTAAAAACTTGGAGTGATAGTAGTCAACTCAGTCAAGCACTGACTGTGTAGGATCTGCACTTTACAGCTGATTATACATACTAGAATCAATTCAGTTAGCAAAATATCTCCTGAATAATTGAATAGATTTTAATGAAACTATTAGAGTTAATGTCTTGATGCATCTCAGTAATCCAGGTAGAAAAAGTCAAAAAGAAATAATAAGTAGGTCCTCTGGATGGGTTCTTCTTTAGTGAAACGTTTCGTCTCTCCTTCAAGAGACTTCTTCAGCCTGATGAGTTTCAGGTGAACTCAGCTTTATAAGCACTGCCTCCACATGGACAAACAGGTTAGTCATATGCAAAGGAGGGCCATCGCCTAACAAAAGGCTTRATTAGCAATRCAACGCTGTTATTGCAAATATGACAGTCCCATGAGCAAAAGGTGTGAATCAGGGCCCCAGCGATAACCAACACAAAGAGGGAAAGAGGGACAAAAACAAGTGGACATTTAACCCCCGCTTGCATTCACTACATTACATAACACGACACAGGTCAGGTGATGGGGCACATGACCCTCTATGAATAACAGAGCCAATYAAGCCTATTGTTAGTCGGTGGCCCTCTTTCACATGTGACTAACCTGTTTGTCCATGTGGAGGCGGAGCTTATAAGGCTGAGTTCTCCTGAAACTCATCAGACTGAAGAAGTCTCTTGGAGGAGAGATGAAACGTTTCACTAAAGAAGAACCCGTCCAGAGGACCTACTTATTTTTTTCTTGTTGATTTCAGAGGTAATCATTAAATGTAAATCTAAAACAGACTCACTTTTGGAGTCAACCTAACTCAAGATGTCAAGAACCAAAATAATAGCTACCCACCCCCCCACCCCCCAGATATTGAGCTATATTTTTGTTTCGTAGCTGAGCATAATCCCCAACACATACTTTGAAC